CCCCAAAACCCCAAAACCCCAAAACCCCAAAACCCCAAAACCCCGTGTTATATAATTAAATGAAAGATTAGGTAGATTAATATCTTTATATATAAGCATCGGATTTAAATTAAGTAGATTCAAATATATCAATAAAATATAGAATGCCTTCTTTGTACTAGAACAGCGACATCTTAGGAGTCCTTGTGAGATTGACTGAGATTGTTGAACTCCATGCCCTTTTCCTCAAAATCTCGAAGCTGTTTGAGGAATCCTTCGTTAGGATCTACGCAATCACGTCTGTTTTTAACAAATTCAATTGCCTAAAACACCAATAAATATACTGATAATTAATAAAATTAAGTTAATACAATAGATAGTTAAGGATACTTACGTCTTCATAAGATATTTGAAATCTTTTCATGATATACATAATAACACAAGTAGCAGATCTCGACCTTCCCATAGCACAATGTACAAACACGACATTCCTATTAGACGACTGCCTATTAAACGTATCTACAGCTGAGTCAATTTAATAGGCAATTCTGTTTTGCTTGTTAGGCTTCCTCTAGATCGATGCATATCCTTCTCTAGGAAAAGTGGATTCTATGGTGTCGAGTAACGCTGCTGATCTCAGTTATAACTTCTAACGCTTGCTAAGCTCCATCTAGCTTTAGAATATATCGTCAATTAGCGGGTTCTGCTTGCAGGGATTCTTAAAGAAATCTTTAGTCTCATTGAAAGCATCATCGATAAATTGGTAAACTAGAGGAAAAGTTCTTCTAATTTACACATCATCTTGATCCTCGATGTTTATTCTAAGATACTGGATGTGTAGACTCACTATTACGCATCAATTAAATAATACTAAGTATACTTACGAGAGTTCTCGAAGTAGCAAGGAATCATGTCAGAGACGTTTAGAATATGAGTGATTCTGAGATGCCTCATGATCTGTTTATCGGCTGTGTGGAATTGGTCTCCAAGATACATTCTGCCTTCAAGGATCTCGCTGGGATAGTTTTTTGCTATCAAACTAAACATAGAGTAAGATATAAATATTTTGGGCTAAGTAAATAATTACGGTTTCGGATAGAGAATGGATGTTCTAAACTTGCATAAGAAGGGATACTTATCCAAGAATACATTAAACCCATTAATACACAAGAAAACTTCTCTTATTCTTTCATTTTTTAGTGCTTTTATTAGCAAAAACGCGTTTCTCAAGGACAAGATCTATGAAAAGTTAATGACCACCATACTTTATGTCAAATCTTACATCTTCTAGAGATTATTTTTTATTAAACATAGGATTCATCTTCAGCATTTTCATGTGAGACTCGTTGAAGAGCATTGGCGATTGAAAAATTATTGTTTGAAAGTCCTCCTGACAGCCTATGATGTTAATGAATAGGCGCTTTCTGTTTCTGAATAAGTCCTTTTTCTCTTTGTTTTTGAGAATATGATTCTATATGTAGTTGACATCCCATTTTATGAAAAACTCTTCGTCGCACAGGTCTATCGGGAAACTGATTGAATCCTTCAAGTGAGCTTGATGGTAGTTCATTCTTGAGCGGAGATCAAATGTCAGCATTTTTCCTATGCTTTGCTAGTTATTAAACATTAGCTAAGATGATGTCAATTAGATTGTCAATTTGTCGCTTCCTAGAAATCTTTTGCAGCTATCTTCAATGTTCTAGTCTTTGCTCTCAATGAGGCTGCTAATATTCATCTAGAGAAAGATCTGCTCAAGTTCTGCTAATTGCTAAGTAGTGTACTTTTACTTTCTCGTGGATTGCATTCTATCTGAGACAGAGGTGAGTCTTTCCATTTTATTACAAGGATTAAATATATATTCACCTTACTCAATCAATTTGATATATTTCCATCATTTATTCGCCTTTAAAAGACAACACAGGGGTTTTGGGGTTTTGGGGTTTTGGGG